AGCTTACGGCCCCCATCCCTGTGTTCGGTTATGGATTGGACCTTTGGGATGCATAGTGTCACCACTGGCTGCTGTTTGGAAGTAGATCTCCAGGGTCTTCCTCTGAGGCCTTCTCCGTCTGGAAGCTCTGCTGGATCCTGTTCAGCCCCAAAGCAACACTGAGGTGCACTGGCCAGGAACTGAACCTGGCTGGGACTCCCACGTGAAAGGAGAGAAGTCTACCAATGAACCACCACCACCACCCTCTTAGAAAGATTCAGCACTATATCCATAATAAGGAGCTCTCATGGCACAGTGGTTAAAGCATTCAGTTACCAACCAAAAGTGGGAGGTTCGAACCCACCAGCTGCTTTGTGGGAGAATGATGAGGCAGTCTGCCTCTGTACAGATTTATAGCCTTGGAAACCTTATGGGACAGCTCTACCCCATCCTGTAGGATCACTATGAGTTGGAATGACTCAGTGGTAGTGGGTTGGGTTCATTTTTGTTTATACTAATAATAACGATGCTGATAGTAGTAGTAGTAATTAACAAAGAAAGGAGTTCTGGTGGCACAGTGCCTAAGGCATTTGACTGCTAACCAGAAGGTTGGTGGTTCAAGACCACCAGTTGCTCCGCAGAAGGAAGATGGGGCAATCTATTTCCATAAAGATTTACCACCTTGGAAACCCAATGGGAGTTGCCATGAGTCAGAATCGACTCGATGGCATTGAGTTTGGTTTGGTTTCCTTTGGTTAACCAATAAAATGGTAGCAGAATTTGGAGCATTCCTAAGGGGTGGTAGACAGAGCATGCTCTTGGAGGGAAAAAGAGGAGAAGCACCTCCCCAGTTCTCCTTGAGAGCTTCTCACACCTGGGGCCATGTCCTTGGTGATGTCCTTGACCCTGCTTCCCAGCCTTCCTTCAACTCAGACTCCTGGTCTTGGCTCTTCCAAACTCTAGCCCACATGCTTGGGGCCTGAGTGAGAGAGCCTCAGATTCCAGGGATAGGGCAAGGATGGGACGATATGACCTTATCCTCTTTGGTGAAAGGAGTGCCCTGCCCCAGCTGAAGGATAGTCGCCTCTCCTCAGCAGCTGTGCCCCAGGAGGCTGGGAAGGTTCCTGAAGATGTAGTCACCCAGGAAGATTGGGATGAGCATGGCTGAGGCCAGCTGAGATTAGCACCAACATTTTAAAACAGAATTTGTGAAAGGAATTGGAGATACCCCCTCCCCATGACTGCTGGGGGAGGGCACATCCCCTGGGGACAGCTGTGGGTATGACTTCAAATTGCTCCCTCACTAGGGCAAAACCATTGCCCGGAGCAGAATAGAAGTGAACTGCCTATAAATGCACCAGCTCTGATTTAGACTTCACTGAATGTTTACAGTCTTAGTTATCGAGTGCTGCTATAACAGAAGGAGCTCTGATGGTGCAGTGAGTAAGGCATTTGGCTGCTAACCAGAAGGTCAGTGGTTCAAACCCACCAGCTGCTCTACGGGAAGCAGTTGAGGCAGTCTGCTTTCATGAAGATTTACAGCCTTGGAAACCCGACGGGGGTTGCTGTGAGTTGGAATTGACTCAATGGCAGTGAGTGCTATAACAGAAATACCACAAGTGGGTGGCTTTTCTCACAGTTTAGGAGGCTAGAAGTCTGAATTCAGGGCACAGACTCTAGAGGAAGGCTTTCTATCTCTGTCAGCTCTTGGAGAAGGTGCTTGTCTCCCTTCAACATCTATGGGTCCAGCATTCCTCGGAGATCTCCATGTGTCTTGGCATCAATCTTCCCCTGAGTCTAGGAGGTTCTCAGCACAGGGATTCTAGGTCCAAAGGACATGCTCCGCTCCAGACTCTTCTTTCTTGGTGGCACTGAGGTCCCTCTGATCTCCACTTTCTTTGTTTAATCTCTTTGATATTTGTAAAGAGATTGGCTCCAGGTACAACCTCATCCTGTAGATTGTATCCTGCCTCACTAACATGACTACCTCTAATCCTGCCTCATTAAAGTCACAAAGGTGAGGATTTACAACACATACGATAATTACATCAGATCACAAAATGGGGGATAATTACATCATACTGAGAATCATAGCCTAGCCAAGTTGACACGTATTTTGTGGGGGACACAATTTAAATCATAGCAGTTACTAGGGCACAGATGTGCCCTTGGGGCCTACGGCCATCGTTTTGTCTGACTTCAGACCACACAAGAAGGAAATCTCGCTGGGTGGCATCTGTGACCTGAATGGAGGTCAGGAGCATGGACAGCAGTGTTAGGGGTTGGATCCTAGCACCACCTCTTCCAGCTCACATGACCTTGACCAACTAACCCACAGTGTGTTCTATGAGCCAAGCCCTTTATGGTTATTAACTAATTCAGTCAACATATCAGCCCAAAGAGGATGGTCCTGTTACAATGGGAGAGTGCCTCAGTTTCTTCATCTGTGAAATGGGAATACTATCAAAATCTACGTCATGAGGTTATTGAAGGATGAAGCAAGTTAATATATGTAAAGTTTTCAGAATAGTTCCTGTCACAGAGAACTCTATATTAAGTATCAGCTATTTTTAATTTTTGTTGGAGAGGAAATTAGTCAATTCACATTGACTAATTTCTATGATTGTTTCAAGCAGGCTCCCCAGACCATCCATGTGGTGTGAGTTAAAATTCAACTCGACTTCCTGTACATTCGAGCTATACTGAGTGGGGACCCCCGCACCACCCTTATCAGAGTCAGCAAGCGAGCTTGTTTGAATGCTGATTCCCAGCATCCTGGGGATGGAGCATAGGGATCTGTATTACAAACAGCCCCCTGGCTGACTCTCATCTGCACGCTTCCTTCGGGAAACATTGAGTTAGTTGAACCCCCTCAGTGAGTAGTGGTGGTTTGGTGGCAGAATTCTTGCTTCCAGGTAGGAGACCAGGGCTCGACTCCTGGCTGGTGAGCCCCATTGACAGCAACTACCACTCTGTCAGTGGAGACTGGGGTGTTGCTATGATAATGAACAGGGTTTCAGCAGAGCTTCCAGACTAAGATAGACTAGGGCCTGGCCATCTGTCTCCAAAAATTAGCTATCAAGGGCCCAGTGACATGGGCTAGGTAATGTGTCACTCATTGGGCAGAGCCCTGAGTTCTCCTGAGGGATGTCTGACCATTCCATGCTGGCTCCGTATCTTAGGACTTGCATTTCACAATGGACCTAACCTCCATCCAGATCTTACATGGAGTGACCTCTCCTCCCCTCCTTGCATTTCAGATGTTCCTGGTGTGTAAGGACAGCGGCTCGAAGCACCTGGTTCTCTGTGTCCACTTTCCCTCCCGGAATGAGGGCTCATCTGAGGTGCTTGAATATACCATTAAAGAGGAAAAATCGAGTAAGTACCCTCGTCTTCCTGGGCTGGCCTCTGACCACATAACAGCAGCTACACCCTGTAACCACAGGCACTCCTGTCACTACAGACATGTTTAAAATTAGCAGAAGTGGGGGAAGCTTTCAGTTCACTGCAGTTATCTGGCCAGGTTTTCTTTGAACTCTGTGTATCACTCAACAGTCAACTTCAGTTTCTGCTCACCCATGTCATGGCTTGCTGGCTGTTTCCCCTTCATGCCATGAAGGTCCTTCAAATTAGCTCAGTCTGACAAGGAGGCAGGAAAAAGGAAAAGAATGGGTCCCAGTATCAGCTCAGCACACAGTCAAACCATGGACCGGTCACTTAACCTCTCTGAGCTTCAGTTTCCTCATCTGTAACATGGGCATGATAACCATTGTGTCCTGTGTCACAGGGTCTGTGAAGGGTCAAATGGGCAAGCATTTGAAAGACAAAACCCCCATGTGTGCACAGGGCTGCCAGGAACAGAGCTGGGCCTCAGTGGGAAGGTGGTTGTGGCCCCCTGATCATGGTGGCTTTGTGTTTCTCTGCAACATCGTTGAGTTTGAGCCCTTCTTAGACTACTGGGCCCAGTCATCTAGACTGGCTTCCCCCTTCTCTCATGGTCCATGTGTGCACATGCCAGTGTTAAGATCCAAAAAGCCCATTAGAAGGAAAATGCAGAACAGAATTTCACATTCTTAAGGACTCTAGACTTTCTGGAGCCATGGAGGGCAGAGGAACCTCTGAAACTATTGCCCTGAGATCATCTTTAAACCTTAAACCAGAAATAACCCCTGAAGTCTTCTTAAAACCAAACAATAGCTTAACAAGTAAAGGATGTCTGCCTTGAGCATTGTGCTCTTTCAAGAACTATCTATGTGGGATCAAATTGACAGCAGCCACTTGAAAGATTAGATGGGAACCTTGGGCAGTGAACTCACATTAACGACAGAGGAAGGACTCAGAAAAGGAGGATGAGAACGTTACACAGCTCAAAGAATGTAGTCAGCATCACTGAAATGTATATATAGAAACTGTTAAATGGGTTTGTGTTCTATTGTGTATATTCTCAAGGATAACCAAAAAATTAATTATTATTGTTTAAAAAAAAAAAAGCCTATTAGAAGAATCTGGAGACTATTCCAAGCACCTACTTAGGTCTTCCTGTAATGGATCCAGGAGATCGCAGGGATTAGCGGGTGGTTAGCAGCAGAGTAACAACAGTTAAAGAAGAAGGGTCACTAAATGTTCTGGAGTGCTGGTTTCCCAAGAAATAGCTGAGCCAGCTACTGGGAAGATGCAAAGATGAGTAAGACAGAGTTCCTGAGCTCAAGGGTTTCCTAAGCTAGGTGGAGGGTGGAGACATGTTGCGGCAGGAGAGAGAAAGATGTCGATTGTTCCTGTCCCGAGTGACAGGTGTACTACAGAGGGACCCCCGGGTGAGGGGAGCTGAGGATACAGGCCACTGTGGGAGGACTCTCAGGGACGGAGTCAAAGAGGGGGTGACATTTAGCTGGGTCCTGCAAGGTGACTGTATTAGTCTCAAACTAAAAGCAAATTCACTGCCTTCAAATTGATTCCAACTCATAGCAACCCCCATTGAGTTTCCAAGGCTATAAGTCTTTATGGGGGAGCTTTGGTAGCATAGTGCCTAAGGCACTTGACTGCTAACCAGAAGGCAGGTGTTCAAACCCACCAGCCACTCCTGGGAAGGAAGATGGGGCAATCTACTTCCGTAGTGATGCTGCCTCGGAAACCCAAGGAGGAGTCGCTATGAGTTGGGTCCAACTCGACGACACAACAACAACAACAACAACAACAACAAGTCTTTATGGAAGCTAGCTGCCTCATCTTTCTTCCTTGGAGCAGCTGGTGGGTTTGAACCACTAATCTTTTGGTTAGCAGCCACATGCCTTACCACTGCACGACCAGAGCTTCTTTTGTATTAGTCTGATTTTCTAGCCCCAGAAGTGGACAAGAAATTAAAACTAGAAGCAGAATGCTTTTCTGCTAAGTAAGGGAGCCTTTCCATTTACTCATCTTTGTATCCAACACACAGTTACTGAGTGCGTGCTCTGTGCTGGGCATGGTTTTACTGTTGGGGTTGCAGCAGCGAGCAAAGCATAGTCTTGTGTTCAGGTAGAGGGCGAGATGGTGAACAGGTAAATCCGTAGGTGACTCACAGATGGAGCTGTGCTGTGGAGGACATGTAAGTGGGGGAATGTTAGCTAGCTGCTGCAACAACAGTAAAAAGGGACTGGCTTAAACGCCAAAGAGGCTTATTTTCCGCTCACATAGAAGTTTTCTGATGAGCGGGGGAGGCTCATTCAGGGGCGCTGGCTGACAGAGCCTCTGCCACCTATCAACAGGCAGCCTCTTGGTTTCATGCTTGACTCCAACCCAATAGGCTGGAAGGAAAAGAGCTAGAGGACGCTGTAGGGGGAGCAGGCCTGGAAGTAGGTGTGTCACTTGTGCTCACATTCCATTGGTTGGACTCAGTCACATGACCACATCAAACTGCAAGGGAGAATAGGAAATACAGTCGAGTTATGTGCCTGGAAGAAGCAGAGGCCCTGGATTTTAGGGGTCTTTTCACAGGGTAAGGGGGAGAGGGATTGTGGGTTTGAGAAAGGGTTGTTAATTTGTTTGAGAAACTATAATGACCCCTTTATCCGAGGACTGCTATAACAAAAACACTCCAAGGGGTGGCTTTAAAGAACAGAAATTCATTTTCTTACAGGTCAGGAGGTTAGAAGTCCGAATTCAGGGTGCTGGCTGTAGGAGACAGCGTCCTCTCTCTATTGGCTCTGTGAGAGATCCTTGTCTCTTGGTGTCCCTCAGTTCATTGGCAGTCTTCA